AATTGAATTAAAATATGAGACTAAAAGTTTTTGATCTATGTCATTTGTGACTTGTATATTAACTGTTGACTAGTATCAGTAAATTCAACAAAAAGTTTGATTTTACAATACAAAAACATCAACCATATTATAATTGAGGTCAATACTAGATTATGTCCTTAGTTACACATAAACATTGTTGAATTTCCTTTCATTATGTTACTGTACCTAGTATGTACCAACAGCAATACCACATAAATACAACTGTAGAATCAAAATACTTTGTAGTTATCAAAACTAGCAGATTTCAGCGTGATAAATAATGAACAAGTCTGACAATGTTGAGAGCGGATAAGTCTGTTAATGTAAAGATCAGTAAAGTTTGAAATCGTTTAGACAGGTCTGTTAATATAAAGATAAGTAAAAATTGATATCATTTAGACAGGTCTGTTAATGTAAAGATCAGTAAAGTTTGATATCGTTTAGACAGGTCTGTTAATGTAAAGATCAGTAAAGTTTGATATCGTTTAGACAGGTCTGTTAATGTAAAGATCAGTAAAGTTTGATATTGTTTTGACAGGTCTGTTAATATAAAGATCAGTAAAGTTTGATATCGTTTAGACAGGTCTGTTAATGTAAAGATCAGTAAAGTTTGATATCGTTTAGACAGGTCTGTTAATGTAAAGATCAGTAAAGTTTGATATTGTTTTGACAGGTCTGTTAATATAAAGATCAGTAAAGTTTGATATCGTTTAGACAGGTCTGTTAATGTAAAGATCAGTAAAGTTTGATATTGTTTAGACAGGTCTGTTAATGTAAAGATCAGTAAAGTTTGATATCGTTTAGACAGGTCTGTTAATGTAAAGATCAGTAAAGTTTGATATCATTTAGACAGGTCTGTTAATGTAAAGATCAGTAAAGTTTAATATTGTTTAGACAGGTCTGTTAATGTAAAGATCAGTACAGTTTGATATTGTTTAGACAGGTCTGTTAATGTAAAGATCAGTAAAGTTTAATATTGTTTAGACAGGTCTGTTAATGTAAAGATCAGTAAAGTTTAATATTGTTCAGACAAGTCTGTTAATATAAAGATCAGTAAAAATTGATATCGTTTAGACAGGTCTGTTAATGTAATGATCAGTAAAGTTTGATATTGTTTAGACAGGTCTGTTAATGTAAAGAGCTGATAAGTCTGTTAATGTAAAGATCAGCTGAAAGAATAAATAATGCATAAGTCTGACAATGTTGAGAGTGGATAGGTCTGTTAATGTAAAGATCCATTATTTCTAAAAATATAACAATCCATTAATTATAATACTGTAAATATTCATTAATTCTTTTTTATATAAAAGTTCTTGATTTCTGATAATGTAAACATCCTTTAATTCCGATAATATAAAAATTCATTATTGCTGATAAAATAAAGTTCCATTAATTCTGATAGTATCAAGATTCATTAAATCTGATAAAATGAAGGTTCATTAATTCTCATAATATAAAGATCCATTATCCTGATAATATCAAGATCAGCTAAGTCTGATAATATAAAGATAATTTACATTCAGTAATGCATACCAGTATGTTAATATTAAGTCTGTTATTAAAATTTCTTATCCTAATAACATACAGAAATTTACTTTGCTTTTTTATCTTTTCAATTACCTATTTACCTATTTATTCATATTTTTCTATGAGCAATTAACTATTGTACATGTTTATAACCACTGTTCCAATATTTTTGTCCTGTAAAAGCAGTTGTTTTCTTTCAGGGGGTAATTGCCTGAGTCTGTTAAAAAATTATTTATTATCAACAGTTACTTGCTGTACGTTAACTTGTATATAAACAGACAAGAGGTTTCATCAGCACTTACTTAGTATTTATGAGCAGTTATTCTTTGTGACATTTTTCTGTCTTTACTAAAGAGGTACTTGTATGTAAGTCCATACTCACTAATCACAATATTCTGAGAACAGATCTTTTCTTTAGCTCAATCTGCTGAGTATAATACTGGTAAATTAGAGGTTCTAGGTTCGAATCCTAGCGGTGGCAATGAAAAATGATCAACTTCTCTTAACACATACGGTAAAATCTAGAAAATAAGATGCTGCTTAGTATCTTAAATATTAAGCAAATACAGATTTATCTATATAAGAAACATGCTTATTTTCTGGATAGGCTGATTTTCAAAGCCTCTTGTTTTCCAGTTTTTTGGGTATGTATAGAGCAAGTAAAGGGCTGTCTGGTTTGTAAAGGGGTACAGATGACATAGTTTCAGTGTAGGTAGGTAATAATGTATAAGACTTGTTGACAAAGGTGGGCTCTTATATCTGAAATAATTCAGACTCCTAGCCTAGTTTACATGGGAATCCTGATTTTATGGGGAACTAGTGACAATAAATACTTATTTACCAATAAAACACAATACATCTTATTATGAAACATTGTTACATCACTAATAACAATCAAGTCACAAAGCTACGGTATTGTATACCAGCCAATTAACAAGAACTACAAACTCAACATTTAACATATCTCATCAACATGTAAAAAGCATAGTAAAATAAATGTGAGTTAAACATTTCAGCACACAAGAATTCACTGGTCAACGTAAATCTTGGTTTGCGTAAAATACATATCCTCTCTCACACTGCTATGTCACTTACTTCTGTCTCTAGTAAAGATTGTTAAGATTAACTTCTATCTCTTGAGAGTATCATAAAAAGTATAGTAAAATAAATGTGAGTTAAACATTTCAGCACACAAGAATTCACTGGTCAACGTAAATCTTGGTTTGCGTAAAATACATATCCTCTCTCACACTGCTATGTCACTTACTTCTGTCTCTAGTAAAGATTGTTAAGATTAACTTCTATCTCTTGAGAGTATCTGTAAAGCTTGACTTCTATCTCTAGAGAGTGTCTGTAAGGTTTACTTCTATCTCTAGAGAGTATCTGTAAAGCTTTACTTCTATCTCTAGAGAGTATCTGTAAAGCTTTACTTCTATCTCTAGAGAGTATCTGTAAAGCTTTACTTCTATCTCTAGAGAGTATCTGTAAAGCTTTACTTCTATCTCTAGAGAGTATCTGTAAAGCTTTACTTCTATCTCTAGAGAGTATCTGTAAAGCTTTACTTCTATCTCTAGAGAGTGTCTGTAAAGCTTTACTTCTATCTCTATAAAGTATCTTGTAAAGATTAACTTCTACCTCCAGAAAGTGTCTTATAAAGTTAAACAGTCAATGAAAAATCAGAATTTGATCTGTACCTATTTACTGTGAAATGACAAATATCTACTACCCCATCCCCGCCCCCACCCCCACCCCCACCCTCCACATTCCTTATCTTTATAATGGCACATAAAAAATAACATATGTACAGCATAAACAACATACTACCTGTATGTACACTGTACATATGAAATGATACTATCTTGGTCAGAAAGCCTCATGATGCCAAGTCTATGTATTATGGTATAGCATGAACGTTAATGGTAAGTGAACGATGGCACAAAGAAATATACAGTGTCTGGGACTGCACAAAGATAAGAATAAAAACATCATGAAATTAAAGCATATTACATAAGAAAAATAATTCTGAATGAGTATTGGAATGTATCTTGCACTTATTTCCAAAATATTAAGAGCATAATGACAAGATCTCTTTCACATATACTCTTTAACGGTTCTGTTTTGTGGTCATAATCAGGCTAATAGTACTTTGATATTTGGAATCATATATGATTACATATCAGAAAAAATCATGCAAGTGTTTGATGTGTAAGAGAGGTATAATTCTCAGTCTATTTGTCAAGCTGACAAATAGATTCACCTGAACCAAAGCATGAAAGATATTGGAATGGTCACAATGTATGTACACAAAAAAAAAACAAAAAAAAAACCTGCTGAATGGTCTCGCTTATCAGCTTATACTGATACCAAACAGCAGGCGAAGGCCACAACCTTGACAGGAAGCAATCTCGGATTTAAAACCAATCTGTTGTAAACAATAGCACTAACTAATCAATATTTGCTAATTGAAACTAGGGAAGTTTAAAATGTTTTTATCATGTTTTCCCTCCTAAGTATGCTTTCAAGGAGAGAAACTCTCTTTGGTATGATTCCATACATTACCCTAGCCCACAGATGCTCCAAATCAGACAAAATTCAATCACCTTTTATCTTTATATAATTATTTAATAAATATTTTGAAGAAGTATCCAATTTTTCCTCTCTATGGTGCCCTACTCCATCCAAAAAAGAATACATATTTTTAAAAGTAAAATAAATATTTAACTGCCATGGTCCTGAGATGATTCACATCAACCCATTTCAGTCATAATCCTTTTTCAAGACAATCTGATGCTAAGAGATGCTAAATCACGGATTATCTCATCTCCAAGAAAATAGTAGATGAAACATAGCCTCAAATCTTATTAGTTTTGGTTATATGTCCATGTATTAATTCCAGGTGAACCTTTTCAATGCTTCAGAGCTCCTATTTGTAAATGTTAAAATACATTTATTGCAGAATTTCTTGTTTAACTGTTTGCTTGTCAATAACAATTGTTCTAAAATATTTCTGTGAAAATGTTCATATTATTGAGGATAAATAGTGAAAATTGAAACAAGCAAACAAGAAGCTGTACTGTGCTTTGACTAGTTATTGTGATGTACCACAACTGGCATGGTCAGTTTGACAAGGAGAAATTAATCCAGATTTGTGAATCACCAATACCTTAAAGCTATATATTTAAAAAAATTATAATGTAATAGTGCTTCTTATTTAAAAGTAACAAATTGAAAATTTAGGTAGAGCACATCTTCTAGGATACTTGGTTTAATATTCCTAATTGTGGAAAGCTACTGCACCAGAATTTAGATAAAATACATGGAAATATTACCACTTTTATATTTCTGTAGAGAACATTTTCTGTGCGGACGGTTTATTGTCACAGTCTAAATTTTTTTTATAACAGTATATGAAGACATGTAGCCTCACAACAGAATTCTTTTTAATTACATACTTAGCGTGGCAGTTTCATGGAAAACCTACATCTCTTGACAGCAAAGTGATAGTACATTATAAAGACTATTACTGTACACATGATATAAAACACTACACACATACCAAGGTCTATATGACTAAATCCAAAAGAGGATTTTATAGTCTTTTCACTCACCAGTGATTCATTCAAATCATACTTTTCATATACTTTCACTCTCTTTCTATTGCTTTGGAAACCAGATCTTAAGTTTTGCTTCTTTGTTTTCTTTTTCGACTCTCGTAAATCCCATATTTTTTCAATATCCTTTTTTCTTTGCTGTCTTTCCCACCAATCGAGATTATTTATATTTCTTTCAGACACTAAATTTTCTGTTTTTGATCCATCACTATCATCTTCAATGCTAATGATTTTATTTTTAGAATAAAAATCAATTAAAAAATTTAAAACAGCTGGAGTATTCCAGTCCATGTTTTGTTGAGAAGATGACATTTTGTGACAAAGCTTACACATCTCCAGGGAAGGAAACTGTATCTTTGGATGACGAGGGTCTGTAGAAAAGTCATTTTTCAGTCTGTCATTCGCAAGGTTGTGTTTCTGCCATAGCCACAGCACAGAGTCATTTAAATTTTTCACTTCACTGTCAATACTTTCAGCCATTTTTAGAAAATGTTGAGCACAATCCGAACAGCCAAAGAAATGTTTTATATATCCTGCGATAGCGTCAAGCACACTTCTGGGATTAAAATTCACATCTGAAATAAGATTTATCTTTTATTCATAACTAGAAAGCAATAATACATCAAAGACATACATATTTTTTTTTTATTATTTTTACTTTTAATATGATTTTTCACAAAATCATCCATTTTCATTCAACACATTGCAACATATTTTAGGGAAAAACCACACAGGAAAAAAATTGCTCTGAAATTTTTTGTCAGAATTTTTGTTTAAAAAGGAATCAAATACATACCGTTACTCTCAGTCCTCTGAGCATTTACTGTGAGTGTGTGGAACAGTGTCCACAAGCCACAAGGGTAGCCGCGGAACTGGAGCTGACTACCAGCACAACCAATCCAACGGATCCTTTCTGAAAGGTATGTCTCTGGAGTCTGTTAAGAAAAATAATTTTAACTACAAGAATTGGACTATTTTTGATCAAACCAGTAACTTTGAACACAACCCTCGAAGCACTTCTGTGAAGAAAGCCATTAATTATTGGCGTATTCATTGATAAACAAATCAATTTTTTCAATCCAATCATTTTACTTTTTTAAAAAACTAAAATGGAAATTTGTTCAGACAAAAAAGTTTCATTCTTATTTTGTGACAACATAAGCAATTTATATGCAATATTTCAGAACATTTGCTACATGTCAATCGCCAATACAGAAAGCAATCTTTCGAGGTGGCAGGTCATGGAAGTCCTCTATATATGCCACAGAGGGGTGCTAATAAACAGTGACAAGGGGACACAGACTTATGCACATCTATGACCAATTGTAAAATAAAACGTCAACAAATCAACTATGGAGCATTATCTCGTGTACATTTTTCTTTAATCTTTCAACAATCTCGTCACACTTCCTGCGACCTTGGTGTACATAGGATTATGGTATAGCCAAAATGTTGACTGATACTGTACCATCTTATACACTCCCTACATCAGTTCTTATACACTACAGGGTGGTCATTTGTCTGATAAAGAGGGCAATGTTATCATTCTATGTCACACCTCAATCTTCAATAGGTTGTGTGTTAAGAACTTCTATTTTCAATAAGAGACAGATAAATCCTGAAAGGGACTGTACTTCAAACTTTCTGCGCTAGTAATTAATACAGGAAAGCAGAATCTCCTATTTTTAAAAATTATTACACATGACATATTTCAATGGATATATTCAAAGGTAGTATTGATATTAATTAAGATACTTTTTTTGACTCTGTAAAAAAAATCTTTTTACATTTGAGTGTTTTTACCAATATTCATAGAGCAATATTTTTTTCAGGCAAAAGTTCCTAATGAAGTGGGTTTTTTTTTGGTTAATCTGTATTACATCCCATCTGGTCCTACAATATTGTTTTACCAGTTCGTCCTACATTCAGTATGATCAGAGTTAGATGGTACACTCCAAAATTGGTCCAGTTAGGAATTAAACTTATTGTCTTGATCACAATTAGGCTGGAATGATGATTTTGGTAAACTTTTTTTATTACGGCATACAAACCAATCATTGTGGAAAACAATAACAAAAAAAAAAAAAAAAAAATTTGTTGCAATTATGTCCAGGTTAAACTCTATATTGACTGGACTATCTCTAATGTAAGAACTTTTATAAGTTAGAACATAGTAGTGTGAAAATGTAGTAATCAGTGAAAATATCTACACATGTTTGGAATTTGGTCAGGCAATGTTGTTACAATTTAGTATCACTAAAGTTAAGATTAAGTAATTCAAAAGATTAATATCATTTATCAAAACAGCCAACAAACACACACTACTTGGTTTGAAAATTGGTTTCTGACCTGGAAGCTGTTGATTCGCTGGAGCCAGTCCTGACCTGACAACTCTTCACCAACAGTTACAAGCCATGTGTGGATACGCCATAAATAACCTTTCACGTGTTCTCTCCCTGGGAAATACTGAAAAAGTGAGGTATATTTCAGTTTCAATAGTCTGAAATGGTACACAGATGTTGAATATAATGGATTTCTACCTGTATATTTTTAAAGTTCACACATCAACTGCTAGTGGACAAATGAAAGGACTAAACAGATAAAAGCAGAGTAGTATAACAGCTGCAGTGTTTTGCAATTATCTTAATTAAATGGAAGGAAAGGATTTCAAGATTTCCTCCTATTTCTACCTATTAGATCTCATCCCTCTGCCACAAGAGACATATATTCCTTGCTGATAAAACATCCTCCCATTACCCTAGGAATCTCTGAACCAAATCTCATTAAAATCTACTCAGCTGTTCTGAACAAGTAGAATTTCTATATGCATGCGAAAAAAAAATTTGATGGTATGTTGTTGTTGTCTGTCTATCATATATTTTTATATGTCTCCTTTAATAGTTTTAAAAACACTTTTTCAAACTTTAATTGCCATTACATGAAGTTGTGTTTTCCTGAATGGTAGTTGATTCAATTGTATTTTGAAGAGTTATTGCCTCTTGTCGTTTTTGTAATGTTCATCTTGTTAGTTCCTGTATTTGGAAGAGTTACTGCCCTTAATTCAGAAAAGTAACAATGTAAATATTGTCTGGAGATCTCCTCAAACAGTTTTCGACCTATTTCGAAACCATTCAACCTATTTTGAAACTATTCAAACTTTGTAGGCATTATCTATGACATGATTTTATAATTATAGAAATGGTTATTGTCCTTTGTTGTTGTCATTTTTTTTCACCATTTTGATCTTGTCCAGATATCTCCTTCCTGTTTTCTTTGAAATTTGGTGTGCTTTAAAATCACAAAATGAACATATTTGGATTATACTGTATTTCGTGAAGTTATTGCCCTTTGTTCTTTTCAGTATTTCAATCTTGTCAAGAGATTTCTTCTTCAGTTTTTATCCAAAATCTATTAAATTTCATATGCCATAATCTATCATTTAAACACTTAGCACTGTTGATATTTTGACTTCCTGTCTGTGTACTCTTTTCATTATAATAAATCATGAGTATTTCTTTGGCATGATATGGATGTATAATGTTCTGTCCCATGGTGACAGGAAAATGTAATTCTTACAGCTCACTGCTTTGTCTCAAGTGACTTTACCTTTGCTAAAATATGAAGAAATTTCTTGAGTGCTTTCACACTATCTTCTTTCATGTCATGTTGGATAGCCACTTCCTGTCTAAGAAGATAAGTTAAGGTCGACTCCAGGTCCTGCATGTATACACCCACTCTGTAACACAACACCAAAGTTTGACAGTAAGTGATACGAAACACACCAATTACCAGTAAGGAGTCTGTTTCATAAATAATGTAAAATATTTTCAAGATGGCTGCCACAGCAAATTAGATGAAATGCATATTAATACCTTCTCTAAAGGCCCTGTCATTATGGCAAGACTCAACTGACTGCATAGTTATAGACAAACACAACCTTGTGAAGTTCATCATATAGATTACAATGAGAAGCCCTAAGTTTCTGACCTATCCTGTCATAGTGGTTAACAACCACACAAAGTTTCATCCTTCTGCTATGACCGGTTACAAAGTAAAGATGTGTACACATCTTCATGTAGTTCAATATAGGGGTATCAAGAAAAAAAATGAAGTTTGACAACTTGACCTTTAGAGGAAAAACATGATTGGTATGTGACACACTCTATGATATATAATAGTGGTGAACAAGAACCTCGCCATGTGGCTGGAATCCCCCCCAACCAAGAAAAAAAACCCTATGGAAAGTCATTCATAGTTAAAGTGACCTTTGACCTTCGACCTGAATGGCAATTGATCTCAAACAAGAACTTTTGGTTAAGAAGCATTGCATAAAGTTTGCGTTAGATTTGCTTAAACAGTTATTTGACAAAATGGATTTTCCATTATAGCAACAATAACATCAACCTTTGACTTCTGGGTCTGAAAAGTAATCCCTAGTAAGCACTTTCAGTAAGAAAGCAATGTATAAATTTCGGGTTTATTTGGCCCAAGGAAACTCAAGTTATGTCACAGAAACCAGTTTTCTATTTAGAGCAACAGTATTCTGGATCATTGACCCTGGGACCTGAAAAGCAATCCAAAGCAAGCCAATTAAGTAAGGAAGCATTGTATGAGGTTTGAGTTTGATTACCAAAAACAAACTTGAATTAAAGGATATAAACTGATTTTTCTATTTATAGTAACAGCGACATTGATTTTTAACCTAAAAAGCTGAAAAGCAATCTGGAAGCATTGTATGAGGTTTGAGCTTAATTGGCCAAAGTAAATTTGAGTTATCACAGGGAAACTGATTTTTCTATTTATAGTAACAGTGACCTTGGCCTTTGATCTTTAAAAACGTAAAGCAATCCTAAGCAAATACTTTCAGTAAGGAACTACTGTATAAAGTTTGGGTTGGATTAGCCAAACCAAACAGACAGATGGTCGGAAAGACACGGTGATTAAGATAGGGCACCTGCACTTTCGTAACAGACCTAAGGGTCACCTACATCAGAAATATTAAAATCATCTATCTAGTTCTTCTACAGAAATAGTAATACAAATTATTCAAGGACAGGCAGACAGACAAACCATGGACAACGGACAATTTGAACAGCCCAACATTTAGTTGTAAGCCAGTGTTATGTACCTAGTAGTAACTTTTAATTTTTCCTCCTCGTCTTTGTCTTGTGATTCCTCAATCAAGTGATCTTCCTTGTCAATGTCCTCTTCTGGGACTTGTCCACCACGGATACTGAGCAAGGCCTCCCTAAACTGATCCCTGGTTGTTCCCTTCCTGTCATGGGGTTAAAAATTACAAAGCTTTACCTACTGATCCAAATTGTTAACAAATGTTTATGTACATTTAACAATGACTCTAACAATAAACACTAATATACAGCTGGAAGCTTACAAATAAGCCCCCTCTCTACTTTTGCGGTAAATTAAGGAAACCAATTACTTGGTACCCAGTGATTTGTAAGACTCAGATATCTGAGCCTTGTACTTCTCCACTGTAGGACTTGTCCACACTGTGTGAATGCACTATATCTCTTAGTATTGGGACACATATAATTTTTTAAAATGGCCGTAACTGAAAAAACCTACAAAATGATTGATTACCCTGATATTTGACATACCAACCTAAACCAAATTAAAATTTATATACTCACTCAGCCAGTTGTTTGTACATTCCATTGGCATCAAGAAGGTACAGAGAAGGGAAATAGTTGATTCCAAACTTGACCATCAGTGGCTTCAGGGCCCTTCTCAGCAGCACATCTTTGTAGCCACTCATATCAAGTATGACCTTTACAAAGTACATAACAAATACATTTAACAAACTATCAATAAACACACAATTCATACAAAACACAAGTAAAAATCATACACACAATATACATATATTGTATCATCATACACACAATATACATATATTGTATTATCATACACACAATACACATACATTGTATTATCATACACACAATATACATATATTGTATTATCATACACACAATATACACACATTGTATTATCATACACACAATATACATACATTGTATTATCATACACACAATATACATATATTGTATTATCATACACACAATATACACACATTGTATTATCATACACACAATATACATACATTGTATTATCATACACACAATATACACACATTGTATTATCATACACACAATATACACACATTGTATTATCATACACACAATATACATACATTGTATTATCATACACACAATATACATATATTGTATTATCATACACACAATATACACACATTGTATTATCATACACACAATATACATACAATGTATTATCATACACACAATATACATACAATGTATTATCATACACACAATATACATACATTGTATCATCATACACACAATATACATACATTGTATCATACATACAATATACATACATTGTATCATACACACAATATACATACATTGTATCATACACACAATATACATACATTGTATCATTACACATACAATATACATACATTGTATAACACATCGTACACACAATATACATACATTGTATCATACACACAATATACATACATTGTATTATCATACACACAATATACATACATTGTATCATCATACACACAATATACATACATTGTATCATACACACAATACACATACATTGTACACATCATCATACACACAATACACATACATTGTATCATACACACAATACACATACATTGTATCATCATACACACAATACACATACATCATACACACAATATACATACATTGTATCATCATACACACAATACACATACATTGTATCATACACACAATACACATACATTGTATCATCATACACACAATACACATACATTGTATCATACACACAATACACATACATTGTATCATACACACAATACACAAACATTGTATCATACACACAATACACATACATTGTATCATACACACAATACACATACATTGTATCATACACACAATACACATACATTGTATCATACACACAATACACATACATTGTATCATCATACACACAATACACATACATTGTATCATACACACAATACACATACATTGTACATACACACAATACACATACAACCATCATACACACAATATACATACATTGTATCATACACACAATACACATACATTGTATCATACACACAATACACATACATTGTATCATACACACAATACACATACATTGTATCATACACACAATATACATACATTGTATCATCATACACACAATATACATACATTGTATCATCATACACATAATATACATACATTGTATCATCATACACACAATACATACACACATATCATTATACATACATACACATAATATACATACATTGTATCATCATACACACAATACACATACATTGTATAACACATCATACACACAATATACATACATTGTATCATCATACACACAATATACATACATTGTATCATCATACACACAATACACATACATTGTATCATACACACAATACACATACATTGTATCATACACACAATACACATACATTGTATCATACACACAATATACATACATTGTATCATCATACACACAATACACATACATTGTATCATACACACAATACACATACATTGTATCATACACACAATACACATACATTGTATCATACACACAATACACATACATTGTATCATCATACACACAATATACATACATTGTATCATCATACACATAATATACATACATTGTATCATCATACACACAATATACATACATTGTATCATCATACACACAATATACATACATTGTATCATCATACACATAATATACATACATTGTATCATCATACACACAATATACATACATTGTATCATCATACACACAATACACATACATTGTATCATCATACACACAATATACATACATTGTATCATCATACACATAATATACATACATTGTATCATCATACACATAATATACATACATTGTATCATCATACACACAATACACATACATTGTATAACACATCATACACACAATATACATACATTGTATCATCATACACACAATATACATACATTGTATCATCATACACACAATACACATACATTGTATCATACACACAATATACATACATTGTATCATTATACATACAATATACATACATTGTATCATACACACAATATACATACATTGTATAACACATCGTACACACAATATACATACATTGTATCATTACACATACAATATACATACATTGTATAACACATCGTACACACAATACACATACATTGTATCATCATACACACAATATACATACATTGTATTATCATACACACAATATACATACATTGTATCATCATACACACAATATACATACACTGTATCATACACACAATACACATACATTGTATCATCATACACACAATATACATACATTGTATCATCATACACACAATACACATACATTGTATTAACATACACACAATATACATACATTGTATCATCATACACACAATATACATACATTGTATCATCATACACACAATACACATACATTGTATCATACACACAATACACATACATTGTATCATACACACAATATACATACATTGTATCATCATACACACAATACACATACATTGTATCATCATACACACAATACACATACATTGTATCATCATACACACAATAAACATACATTGTATCATACACACAATACACATACATTGTATCATCATACACACAATAAACATACATTGTATCATCATACACACAACACAGATACATTGTATCATCATAAACACAATATACATACATTGTATCATCATAAACACAATACATATACATTGTATAACACATCATGAACACAAAATACATACCTACTGGCCAAGGTGACAATACAATACAGTATTTCTGCTGTAGCAGACAGGTTGTCTTACCTCTCTTCCTGTGTAGGAATCCTCCTCCTCAAATACCAGAGCAACATGTTTATGGTGGTCTTTAGCTTCCCCCCAAATGTGTTCCAGTGACCTGTAACAGGGATCAAAGTTGTTATCACTAGGCAAGGGCAGTTTGGAGAGCCTTGACATACGCCTTTGACAATATTAATGTTTCAAAGTTTAAACACTTGTGGCAGCCACCTTTTTTGTTCAATTGTTTACATCCCTGTGTTCCTTAGATTAGATCATGCCTGTGGACCAGTTTTCTTCAAAATTGGACAACATTTAATTTTCAGTGGCTGTGGCAGCCATCTTGGATTAGGGAAAAAATATCTCAGACAATTCTTGATTTGACATGGTCATCAATATTTCATGATAGTAAAGAGTACATTTCCACAAAGCAACCTGCACTCATACAAGGTTTTGTTTTATTCTAACTTCCAGCTTTCCAAAAATGTGTCAGACAAAATGAGGTAGAAGAATAAAAACAATACAAGAAGTACTCATATAACAATACTAAATTTTATGTTAAAAATTGTAGCAACTATACAACAACCAATCAGAATACATTTTGACTAAAGTAGATGACCTGACCACATGGGGGACATTGTAAAAGGTTCACTTGCCGAATAATGCACTAATCGAATTCCAATTGAAGCTAGCTGGAGTTATCTCCCTTTAGCAAACATTAATTAGATTGAATACTATTAAATTACCTATGATAAGTTGAATTTGATAAAAATCAATATGATTCTCGATAGTTGAATAAATGACTTAAGTATGCAAATATACTGGTACTATGAGTTGGTCTTTGGTACTGATTTACATGGGCACTGAAAGTGGTGTGTCAAGAAAAATATCCTGATGATTGCGAACACATCTACACTCAATTAATTACAATGTGGGGGGGTGGGGGGGACATAATCACAAACAAACATGTATGTTAAATGTGCCATTTTCTTTCAAAAACCAACTATATAACAATGTACCTGTGTATCAGGTTCAAATCACTCATAGGTACTGACAATAGAAACATCATACTTACTCAAGTGGTTGAAGGTTTGGCCAAATTGATGTTGCCATCCCATTGAATTCAGTGACAAAATCCACCATTTTTTCAATCAGTGCTTTAGGATCTTGATTATGAAATTCCACCCCAGACTCGTTCTTGGAGGCATATGGAGGCAACAGCTTAAGATTAAGAATGAAATTTATTAGTTTAACTAAGTGATCCTTTTGCTTATATAAGAAAAAATGCTTATTGGAATCCATTTATCTACACTGAGGAAAAGCATCAATAAGATAAACAGACTTAATATCACAACACTCCACTATTCCAAGGGTAAACACAACACTCCACCATCCCAAGGGTAAACACAACACTCCACCATCCCAAGGGTAAACACAACATTCCACCATCCCAATGGTAAACACAGCACTCCACCATCCCAATGGTAAACACAGCACTCCACCATCCCAAGGGTAAACACAGCACTCCAGCATCCCAATGGTAAACACAGCACTCCACCATCCCAAGGGTAAACACAACACTCCACCATCACAAGGGTAAACACAGCACTCCACCATCCCAATGGTAAACACAGCACTCCACCATCCCAATGGTAAACACAACGCTCCACCATCCCAAGGGTAAACACAGCACTCCACCATCACAAGGGTAAACACAGCACTCCACCATCCCAATGGTAAACACAGCACTCCACCATCCCAAGGGTAAACACAGCACTCCACCATCCCAATGGTAAACACAGCACTCCACCATCCCAAGGGTAAACACAGCACTCCACCATCACAAGGGTAAACACAGCACTCCACCATCCCAAGGGTAAACACAGCACTCCACCATCACAAGGGTAAACACAGCACTCCACCATCCCAATGGTAAACACAGCACTCCACCATCCCAATGGTAAACACAGCACTCCACCATCACAAGGGTAAACACAGCACTCCACCATCCCAATGGTAAACACAGCACTCCACCATCCCAATGGTAAACACAGCACTCCACCATCCCAATTGTAAACACAGCACTCCACCATCTCTACAGAAAACACAACACTCCACCATCTCTACAGAAAACACAACACTCCACCATCCCAAGGGTAAACACAACACTCCACCATCCCAATGGTAAACACAGCACTCCACCATCCCAGGAGTAAACACAATCAGCCACCATCCCAAGGGTAAACACAGCACTCCACCATCCCAGGAGTAAACACAATCAGCCACCATCCCAAGGGTAAACACAGCACTCCACCATCCCAGGAGTTAACACAATCAGCCACCATCCCAAGGGTAAACACAGCACTCCACCATCCCAGGAGTTAACACAATCAGCCACCATCCCAAGGGTAAACACAGCACTCCACCATCCCAAGGGTAAACACAGCACTCCACCATCCCAGGAGTAAACACAATCAGCCACCATCCTAAGGGTAAACACAGCACTCCACCATCCTAAGGGTAAACACAACACTCCACCATCCCAGGAGTAAACACAATTCTCCACTCTCCCTACAGGAAACACAACACTCCACCATCCCAAGAGTAAACACGATACTCCACCATCACAAGGGTAAACAAAACCCTCCACCATTCCAATGGTAAACACAATTCTCTTCCATCACAAGAGCAACACAACTTTTCACATCTCTACAGGAAACACACATCCAATCATGCCAAGCGTAACACAATTTTCCACCATCCTTATAGGAAACACAACTCAAAACATCCCAAAAATAACACCACACTCCACTATCCAAAGGGCAACAAAATACTACACACTAAACACATGAGGTGGTGCAGAATAATGTAGTGACACTATATAAACGCCTGCTTTTCAGCACCCAAATTGGTTGTTAATAAGTAGATGTTGTTTGATAACTAAAATTTCATTAAGAATTATGAAAAGTTACATTAATAGCCAACTTTTTGCAAAAGTCTCATTCCAGACATACACAATTTGTAAACAACATTCAAAGATTTGACCTTGTTGTATTTGGTCAGTTCTGACAGTTAATCCAGCAGAATATATGCACCATCCAGAGTGCTTTCTTGCCTGATAAATACCCATTTGCCATGGGAAGATTCCTCAGTGAAATTCTGAGGTTTTCTTTTGTGCATTTGGCCATCAATCCCTTTGTGGCTGACATTGTAACATTGTTTCAATCTTGACCAATTCATGTGGGAAATCATTCTTGTTTTACTGATGTGTTGTGTGCAAGTGTAATCATGTATGATGCAAAAATTTACAAATACAGGCCATTAATCAACAGCGACAGATCATCATTTTGTAATCATTAATCAACATAATTGTGTGTATTTTTCAGCAGACACCATCTATCATTGTTCTCAGGGTGATACATTTGATATATATATATATATATATATATACAACAATGATAAAATCAAAAACAAAAATGTTTTACAGTGATTTAACTTAAGCTAAATATATTGGTATCCAAGTATACTGTGGGGTATACTAGAGATTATTACCAAAAGTAACCTTATACTCTAGCTTGTAGTTATAATGTTATAATTACCCGCATAGTGGGATAGCCTTTGATCTTGTAGTTCCTACATATGTCAAGGTTCCCTGTTGTTGAACAGTCTATAGCGCCCACTTTGATTACACCACTCCATCCTGGAAGTATAAGGTATACTGGTTGTGTCCCTTGTAATCAATATGCATACAAAACGTTTTCAACAGACTATCATGCCAATACAGAATATGAAATATTAATGTGAGATGGTTAAGTGGTTTGTCCTTTTTAGCTATAAAGAAGTGTTAGTTTAGATCAGCTGTTAATACTGAAATAAGTAGCTGTTGGAAGTCATTCCTGTGACTTTCAAAGAAAGCCAACATCAGATATTTGCGATAACAAAAACTCCATATTGTCTGCAGCCAAGGTAACAACCATAATCAAAATCACTCTTAAACAATATGTAGAAGTAAACTGAACAGATTATCTTACTAGTCTTTACTAATTTCCCTGTAGTCAGGGAGAAGTGCTTACTGTGAGAATGAAAGGTTGGTAAGAATCCCTAACCATTTTCCATAATTTCTTCCTACATTTTGTATTATATATTTGATGATGTTGCCCATATCAAGTTTAGAACTAGCTACAGGAAATAAAAACACTTCATTATCATTGGTGATAAAAATCCTGTGTTGGCATCACAGGTGATGCAGGACTTATAAAAGATTCATTAAATGATGGATTTTTGAGCATGGCTTGCCTGTGGCTCTGACTTATTATCTGACATCCTGTTACATATAAATTTTTTTATTACAGTAAGACATCCCTTAAACTAGACTCACTTAACATCTACTATAATACATATATCTTTTCTTTCCAATATTAGCCATTTCTTGCTTCTACTTTTAAACTATATATTGTTTTCTATATTGCATCGTTTATAAAATGGTAATATACAGCTATATTATCACGCAGTTTGCAGCTCACTATACCAGCCATAGTGTTGAACAAAGAAAGAAAAGATGCACACTAATCCATGCATAACAAATGAATGCATGATAAATACATATGTAGATTTAATTAGTGAAGTTCAAATATACACTCAGTAATTTATGTCAGAATTTTTTCAGGCAAGACCACAACACCATTCCCAAAATTCTGGAGAGTCCCATTACAGATATTGTGGGTCTTCAAAATCTGAGCAAGTCCCACATGGAAAAAAACATGAAGAGTTCATGACTCAAATTTCTGAGTCCCAAAAGTCACTGACCCTGAAAGATTTGTGCTCGTCCACTCTACCTGTCAACTATCAAACGGAAAAAATGTCATATAGACCTTCACCACAAGTTCATTCCTACCGTTTTGAAATCAATGACAAATGTAAGTTTTTTTTATTGTGGAAGTATGGATTCCCTATGGACAATCGATACATTCACCGATAATATCTGATAACGAACGGGAATATGTTCAATTTATTACCTTTTACGTCCGTAGCCACTGACTTCCAAACAGGGGCAAATCTTCTACAATGTCCACACCAGCTGTTGTAGAATTCAATGATCCATGCGTTTTGTACAGAATAAACATTTTCAGCGAAATTCTCATCCGAGAGAATCACAACATCATCCGAGTGTGAATACAAACCGTCATTGACTACAGCCGGCGATGAAAATGTCAACAAAGAAGCAAAGTAGTAAAGAAGGAAATTTCGCAGAAACATATTTTCGTTCAACATTCTACATGTTGTTGATGTCGATAGTACAGTTCAATACATGGGAATAGAGAACACTTGAGAATGAAGTGTAGCAGGTGCAAGCTTGTGAAACGTCAACACGTTCACCTCATCAGTGTCGTTTATAAGCTTGGCATATATAATAAATTCTGACACAAACTTCCGGTGAGAATGTTTTCCGGATTTATAACTTGTACAGGAAACAATTAAACAATGTACTTGTTTCCGCCTTACAAATGGAAATGTATTGAACTGTACTATCGTTGGCAATTTTGTTTAACAAGAATACAAATATACATAGTTATGTGTTAAATTGAGACCTATGGTGATAATATTATTTACGTGTACAGCTATTTCCAAAGGATACCATGGTTTATGTCCCTCTCGTCCGCTGAAAGACTGGGAGGTCGTAAAAGTGGACGCAAAACCCGTTAATAGATAAATAGTTTACGTCACCTTAGCGTTTATCGAGTCGTAAGCACGTGAGCCCAAGGGTAAAATGGGGGGCAGTCATGGATGAGTTATTTCATTATATTACTAATAAGGCTTAGTAGGTACTATTTTACTCGGAGACCCAGACAGACATGGTTATATGCTGTAGTCTACATAGAGGTTACTCATCTACTAGTTTGCAATAGTGCGGTACATAACATGTCAGACTAATTTCGAATTTGAATCCATGATAGCATAAATGTCCACGTTCAAAATCACAAACAAAAATAATCACGTTTAATGATTATTATAAACATCAGAGTGTTACAATTTAGTTCAACAGTATCTGAATAAAAACATCACATTTTATTATATGAGTGTATATAGTCAGTTATTTCGAAGGACGCGCCAGTAAAACCCCAACTGAGAACCCCTTTGGTTTACCTGGACAGGTGCGAACTATAACCATCTCTTCCATGGGGTAATTTCTCATCGTCTGACTCTATGTCCTATATGATTTCACACATTACTACAGCAATCATCTTATTTGGTCAGGGTCGTATGATAAAGACACCCATGGATCCGGTTAAAACAAAGAAAACTCCGAGACTACTACTGTGTCAATATATTTATCAAATACAAATACATAGTAGAGAGCAAATCTCACTGAACTCGTAACTTTTATATCTCATTAAGATATCTGTCAACAAAAATCAATTCTTCCATGTAATCCATTTGCTTGGTTGTTGCAACATCATGCTCTGAATTTTCAAGCAACAAATTCGTATTTTTTTTGTAAGTTCAATGTAATGATATACAATGTACTAAATGCGATACAACCACGACAACATAGTTAAATCTTCTTATAACCAAGTCTTTCAGTGACAGTTTGTTATTTTCAGTCACGAACGTATCTGTTGCATGATGTGATTTGAAGTTGACAAAAACTACATTAAGTTGTCCTCTTTTCAAAACAATTTATTTTCTCCGTTACTAATTCAAAAGTAAGAATAAGAAGACAGCAATCATCAATATGTTTTTATGACATAGCTCTCATGGTTTGTGCATATGACAGAAATGATTATCACCCGTTCACATTTGACCAGATGACCACATTAGTGGTCAGTTATTTGACAAACACATTCTTACAAAATCACAAAGCGCGCACAAGATTGTTGGCAATGTACATGTACTTTATCAAGCTCTCAAACAGCGCGTTGCATTGTGGGTACGATAAATAGAAATTACATTGGACAGTATTGGTAAAGTCGTGAGACGATTTAAACATTTCATTCTGGTTGTAGCTATCACCATTGTCGTGAAAGTTCTAATTATACAGAACTGGTCCATCCGAGAGTGGATCGGAACCATTCATATCGATGTACGGACACATTCGGGGTCTTTTCAACTGGTTGTTGATAACCTATGTCGCCGTCGACTGTCGACACGTCGGACAGTTCCATGGATTCCTGCACACTTTTCTCTGGTCTTGCTAGTATGGAACCTTTGACATGGTCATGAATCGGATTGCGTGATCCTAACATCTGCCTCGAAATTAATTCAGCTGGGGAGTTCGATTCGTCGCGTAGCTGGCCGGATAGCTCGACCGCAGCCTTTGGATAGCTGGTAGATGGCGCCAGGTTGCTGGAGAATACCGTAGACATGAGTCGCAGTGGCCTAGATTCCACTACTGTGTCGATTACCACTTCGTCGTCTGATTTAACGTCAGTCGAATGAGTGCCAGTCCAAACGGGTTCCACGAATAATGTTGGGTCAATCTCGTAAATAATGGGTCGTTTACTAGGTCTGAAAAAGTAGTAACATCCCAACAAACACCTTCCCAACAGTGGAGCTGGGCACCCTTCTGTACCATCCAGACTGGCCACATCCGCAAGGTCCTGCGAATAAGAATAATTTAATGATTTCTTACATCACAAGGCAGTTTAATCTATGTATCTCTTTTACTCAAATGTACGAAATGCTTAATTATTCCCTCTAATACGTTACAACATTTAACATGTTCTTTTTATGAGTAGATTCCCTTCAAAATTACGTAGTTCTGTCTTATTGCGAAAACCTGTAGGAAACAGTACTGTCAACAATGACAATGTCTTTGTGAAGCACATTTCAAAATACAAATGTACTTATTGTTGTCGTTTCATATTGCGTTATGCCATTCTATGTTAGGTACCAAAACCAAGCAAATTTACAACACAAACATTTCTTTTTGGTATATCATGCAAAATATTCAATAATGATTGTGAAGACAACATACCTTTGGATCTATAGAAGAGGGATCTACTACAATGTGGCGTCGCTGAGTCATGACGTGGATGCAATATAACCAGATCGTACAACCAAAAATCTGAAATAGAGGAATTTCATTTAATTGCATGACTATTTCCCCAACTGACGATACTCTAAAATTGCACGTTTTCGTGGAGTTCAAATTTCGTGATTTTCAAAAAAAATCCTCGATGTCTATTTTGTAGGTAAACAGTAGTTCCGAATTCCACTCGGGCTATCACTGAAATTAGCAGAACTTAAAAACCTCCACAAGAAAACATGATTCGTCAGTAACATGCTTTCTGTCTCTCTGTCTGTCTGTCTGTCTGTCTGTCTGTCTGTCTCTCTCTCTCTCTTTAAGAGATACTTTGCAGTAATTTACATAAATCGCCCTTTATCAGAAAGAAATGAAACACAGCTTACCAGTTAGTCCACAGCGTTGTGTGGGAGAAATCACCGTGATACAATGACTATGACGTCAGCTAATTGTGACGTCATAATATATTGACAACGAGTGGAAGTATGGGTATTTCATTATGTTGCGCACGTTACTACTCGAACTATGCGTCAACCCATCGGGAACCGTTTTATCAAGCATATTTTTCAAAACTAATTATTCGGGAGAGGATCCATGAATCTTAGAAATAAACATTTTTTATCAATATCAGTGATAATGGATGGCCAAAAGGTAAGTAATCAGAAAATGTAATGACAGGACAATAACTATCAGCAAATTGGTGCAATCCCATTTAAAACTAGTCGTAATTTATACAGAAATGGTTTGATGGCATTTTAAACTCCTCTGGAGGACAAACATATTCCATTTTTAAGACAAAGTTCGAACAAGAAAAATACTTAACCAAGCTTAATACCATTGATAGGAAAATTATGTGTAAATTTCGTTCTTCAAATATGCGTTTACCGATAGAAACAGGAAGATGGACAGGTATCCCTCGTCAAGAAAGATTCTGCACATTATGGAACTCTGACATCGGAGACGAATATCAATATTTATTTAAATGCGAAAACGAATCAGTAAAACGTCTAAGAGAAAACTTTATACCAAAATATAACATTACTTACCCAAGTCATAGCAAAATGCAAGGATTGTTTAACATATTCAATGTTAAAATATTTACAAGAATTTGTAGATTTATAGAAAAACTTGATAAATTGTTGATTTAAGTGTTCAAATTTAAGTACCAAATTGTTTATACATGAATGTGATAGTTAGTAATTATTACTATCATTTACAGAAATTGTTGTAATTGTACCTGTCATACGCCACGTATCATGTAAATTATATGCATGTGACCTCTTGTTACACACGTAAGTGTGTCAGAGTGACTGAATAAAACCTTCAAACCTAATATGATATTTAATTACCTGAAAAAAATCCGTGAGTTGGGTGTGGGGATGACATTTCCTTCTTGGGCCTAATATATTCCGGGCCTTTACCATGGACCCACTGGAGGCCTGGGGCTTTAAGCTGCCCCCAGAACCCTCACCGATTATTTTAAAAAGACAACATTTTCTTTCGATATGACCCTGAAATTACAGGATGTTTCCGGCGTCCAAGCAGTCGCAAAATGAAATAGGCAACTTCAGAGAAAAAGATTTTGCGTAGGAAATTTCGGAAACAGGACTTTAACTGCCCAAGCCCCTCAGATAACCCATAGTTTAGACCTACGAAAACACTTTTATACAGGTAACGTACTAAAGCTAAAAAAAAAAAAAAAAACAGTTCAACGTGCCCAGATGATTGGTCTTAATTGAAATGTACAAGAAATAGAGTTATCAAATATTATGAAATAGAAAGCTAAGGAAATATTTTTTTTATAATACCGAATCACGTCTAGCACTTATAATGTTGTTTTTAGTAAAATTATTCAATTCTGTGTGTTTCCAACTCTGTCCAGAGGTCTGGAAGAAACGTATAATAATACCACCACAAAGGCAGCTACAGGCCAGTATGATTGTTATGTCTACAAACTCTCTCCACGGAAATCCACATATGTATACATGTGCATATCCGAAGTGTTATACTTCATATTGAGTAGTATATCTTTCCTTGTCTGTCTTAATACATGGAAATTAAAGTCTTCGACACTGTTTGGTATCAGGGACTCTCCTACAAGTCAATCATTAGTTGCCTTGGTTTAAACGGAGCTATCGATAATGTTGTTCGTGAATCTTATAGGAACATGACCAGTGCCGTTTCGTTCAATGACTTTACATTCGCTGAAAACTCATGAGTTAGTCAAGTCGGAGTTGACTCTACATGT